TGATAGGACTATAATTCATCCCAATTAATTATAGATTGATTCATTAATATCATCTAGTAGTAATTCAACCAATAATCAATTCAATTTAACCAACATTACCCAATTCACATCAAGATCACAACCTAGGGATAAGGGGCAAGGGTCATATTTTACAAACTAGACCTATCCATCAATATACCTCAAAATTAAGATATAATACATGTTAATCTATTCATATATCCAAAATAAATCATAAACAAATCAATTCGTAACAATTATTTCGAGATTGGATGAAACCCACTTGAAAACTCAATTTTTGGAAATCAATTTGATGAAACCCTTTTAGGAAAGAGGTCTAAAAGTTGAATTATATCCCATACCTTGTTATTTATTAATATTGATGGAGGAAATTGACCCTTTTAATCCCTTAAACCCTCCCCTATCTTGGTCTTCAATGGTGTTCTGCACTAGAGAGAGAATGAAGAGAGAAGGAAGAGAGTTTGGGTTTGTAAGTTACGATTAGTCTAATTGAGTTGGAGTCTGTATATTTGTTGTTAATTAACCTAATTAGGCTTCCCTAATCCCATAAAGAACGATCTAATACCTTAATTAATTTATTGAAACAAATTAAAAACATGCAGCAAAGTCAGACCCTCACAGACCAGACCATGACCAATGGTCCGTGTGTCAGTCAACGACCCTTGCCCCCTTCCGTTCTGCTCATCCTTCGATGAGTTCAAGTATGTGGAAAAACAGGTCCTTCAGGGATTTGTCTAAGTGTTGGTCGACAGATGGAATCGATTCCCCATCGATCCACACACGTTTCATCGATTGCCTTTTGTGGGTGCACACTGCCCAAGTAGTTTTTGACTCCAACGTGCAACGGTCCTCATCAAGGGACCTTTGTTGGTTCTTGAGGATTCATGCCAAAAAATTTAGACCATGAATCAAATTAAGCACATATTAAGCACCCTTTCACCATATTTCATGAATTTCCGACTCCTAAAAGGTAGTCAAATAGCCTAAAGCACACTAGTACCTCTTCGAACTAGTTTCCCGATGTCATGGACGTTCTTGGATGTTTTGGTTTCTAGACTTCCTAAATGACTTATGGTCATTAAAATTGACATTAAAATAGTTCCTAAACCTCATGGAACTTGTTTTAGGCTCTAGAACATGTCTTGGATTTTTGAAGTGTTACATTATCCCCCCTTAGAAACATTCATCCACAAATTGTGCCCAATGCAATAAAATCATAAGGATAGGGTGTTAGGTGAAGAAAACATGTGGGGCAAAGCACCAAAGAACTATCAACATATTGGTGGGTCTGCTTTCCCAGAACCCACAAAATCAACACTTGGTTCATCTTCAGTAGTGTCCACGATAACCTCCACACCATCAGTAGTTCTCCTATAATCAACCACCGATACAAAAGTGAATGACCCAACATCCATTTCTTATGCTCTAATCTGGCGGGCCTCATCATCTATGAACGATGCCCTCCTATCCAACTCTAAATCTGTCCGCTCTCTCTTTTTGCACAGGCCTAATCACCGACCTCAATAGTGCGGCTGGAGCAGTGCCTCTTGGTACGACCACGTGGCTCAGCAGAGGACTTGAATAAGGCATCGATCACTATATCCATTTAAAGATCCATGGGTGCACTCTATGGTTCAGGCCCCCTCATTTATAGAATGACATCAACATCAGCAAGCAAACTAGCAACCACATCCTGAAGAGTAGTGAGGTCGATCGTGGGTCTCATGCTAGTACACAAAGCTCAAAGGTTTCTAGGCATTGGTGGAAAACCTAAATTTTATGCTTAGTCTGCTGGGCCACCCTTTTCTCAATTTCATCCTCAACATCAGTAATGGATTTCTGCAACCTTGTGGATTTTTGCATCCAAGGATGCATGTCGTGGATTAGGGTGTCCATCTTTGCCTCTAACTTTTATACCCGTGCTAAAAGAACCAGTGCTGCAGATGGCGGAGCGGATTGAGAGGAGCTGGGGGACCTACTGACAGTATGAGTGGAGTCAATTGGGGTGGTTTTAGAAGACTCAGATGTAGAAGTATCAACCCCTTGGTCTAAGTCCACCATCTCCACAAAATTCTCGCTCATGGGCCTTCTCCGTGGTGCCGCTACATTGGCCTCATCTTTGATGAGGCCTATGTCGACTATCCTCATCAGGGTACGTAGTGTATCACAGTGCCAAATGGGTACCGAAACCTCTTTGCAAATATGGAATATAAGAGAATCAAAGGATTAAGTAGTAGAGGTCTTTAATCCTTATCAGGTATCACTGATATCAGCACCCGAGCATAGTCTATCTCCAAACCTGCTACCACGGTTGCTACCAACACTGCCCTATTCCAGGTAAGGATATTATTAGCGTTCGTGTGAGAAAGTCGCTGTTAGACTACGATCTGGAAGAATTTTTCCACAAACGTGAAGGACTCCTTCTTAATTAACCCTCGAGGATCTAACACCCAATCAAACTTTTCCCCATCGATAGCATGATGCTAAGCCAATAATATCTTAACTTTCTCTCATTATTCTGGGGTCCTCTGAAATTTACCACTCTTTACAGTCTCCCACCTGTAATCAAATTTTGTAGTAGTTGGGGTTAGAAAATGATAGATAGTGGCCACAAAAATATCAACCCGGAAGCCCCAGACTAGTTAGAGGTGAGTGACTCCTCGTTGGTAGGTCTGTCACGCCTATCTATGGAGCCTCTGAGAGTAGCCATATAGAAGCGTAGAAATCCCTAAATATATTCTTTTTGTAGGATCCCAAACTCCTAGCCATCAACATAAACTTGCAGGGTGAACAATCTGTGTATCTCGGAGAAAATATGACAAATCCACGTGAGCACTTGGCGCTTCACCGTAACTATTCTTTTAATCACCCCTTTTTTATTTAGCATTTTTGCATTCCTGTACACCTGATATTGGCTATGGACGCACCGATAGTTAGGTTCCTCAGCAATAGGTGCGGGGTCATCTGCTCGGGTATGGGTGTAGACTCCAAGCTAGAAGCCTCATTAGACATGGCTTGGTGATTTTGGCCCTCCGACCTAGTGGCTCCCTAAGAAATAGAACCGGAGGCAGTGGCCATCTCCGTCCTCAAGGATTTTGTTGACCTTGATGCGTAGACAGATTCGAAGCTTGATGCTCCTTCCGAATAATAGACATACCTTGTGATTCTTGCAACTGCAGTTGGGGTTGTGGAACCTAGAGGGACGTATGCTGGGTCTCGCTCATTGTAAGAGTCGACGATCATACGACGAAATGGGGCCATTGACTTTGATTTTCCCCTTGAGTCGATGATATCCTTTTTGGGAGGCATTTATACTTGTAGAGCAGTTTTTAATTGCTAATCAACATAACTACTCATTCGAAATACAACGAGCGATGATAATTTAAAAAATAAACAACACAATTTTGTTTTTGCTGATTAAGATTGACGAGAAAAATTGACGGTCCATCGACGAAACAACGATACGTCGATGGGGTTTGTCCTCTGACAATTAGAATTATTCAATTAAGAAGAAAATTAGTCTTCTCTAATATAAATGAAGGCCGTGCAGAACGGTCCATCGATCAATCGATGGACCGTTGTCCACTTCTATCGTCTGGCACTTAGATTATTTTAGAAGTTAATGAAACAAGTTCTCATATGGAAACAACAGACGTGAAGGCGGTTCATCGATCAATTGATGGACTGTTAGTCCACTTTTGTCATTTGATACTTATTTTTTAGGTTGGTGTACTTGATGGACCCCATCGATGTCCTGTCATTCAATCGATGACCCGTTGTTCAATCAAAGGTTTGTCGATGGGGTCTTGTACTTCTGGTCTGAGACAAATTTTAGGACTTTTTTGTAAGGTCCAATTTTTAGACCACTTTTGACACATTCAAGATTAGATATGCAATATAAACACCCAAAAGGCAAATTCGTGATTCCTAGAATTCCATTTTCAACCAATTTGTGTTCTCTTTCATCCTAAGTAAGAAACCCTAAGTCGGAATTTTAAAAAGTACAGGAATACCCACATCTTATAAAAACAAAAAAAACTCACTCTAGCATTGAAAGGATGTACTACATAAATTTTAGCATGTGATTTCAGTTAATTTAGTTCCACGGTCATGACCGACATCATGATTTTTGTAAACAACTATGAACGAGAATTCAAACTTTAAGAAAATTAAAATACCTTTAGTTCGGAGTGGTGTGGTTATGAGATGAATTTTCAAGAATTAACCTACGCGCCTGAACTCGATCATTGTCCGAAGAACAATTTAAAGAAAAAAGAATGTAGGGAAGAGAGAGTTCAGGGAGTTCGAAGGATTCTGAGTTTTGAGTAAAACGGGATATGAGAGGTTGAGTTTTGGTGATTAAGGAAAGAAATAAATTAAGAAAACCATTTTTGAAGGGAATTTTAAAAGAATATGAAGGAGGTAATGAATGTGAACCATTATGTCCTTTAATATTACCGGCCGGATCGGGTTAGATCACAGGTAGTTTGGATTGATGAACCCCTGTCGAGGGTCCGCAGGTAATTTGAATCGGTCCATCAATTAATTCTCGACTTAGCAATTATAAAAGACATACCTTGTATCTAGAGAGACCGAAGACCCATCAATGGGGTCCTTAGACCTCTACGCCGGACCATTTTCTGTAGAGTTTTGTTTCGGTCCTCTCATATGTAATACCCATTAAGGCTATTCTTTTTGAGTTTTTCTGGACACTATTGAGACAGATCCTATGCTAATCTCTAACCAGAAGTAGTACACAAAAAAGATGAAATAAGACATGACACAAAAAATGACTATTCCTACAAAGAAAATAAAACCTATCACTGGCTAGAGGATACACCTTGGTTGCCTCCCAAGAAACACTTTATATAACATCTTTGAATGGAAGGCTCCTTGATTACTCAGACTTCATCAAGATGATAGGCCTCAACCACTTCATGAACACTCTCCGCATGCCCCAGGTAGATCTTTATCCTTTTCCCCTAGATTGTAAACTTTGTCCCCTGCTTATTCTCCAACTCAACCCCTCCATGTGAAAACACTTTAGTTATGAGGAGTGACTGTGTCCACTCAGACTTGAGTTTTTCCAGAAACAAGCGTAGCCTAGAGTTGAATAGAAGCACCAAATCACCAACTGCAAATTCTCGCTTTTCAATCCTTTGGTCATGATACTTCTTCATCTTCTCTTTGTAAATGGCTGAACTTTCATAGGCCTTGAGGCGAAAATAATTAAGCTCATTCAACCCATTTAGTGTTTGTTCTGCCGTTTTAGTACAATCCATCTTATGTTTCCTCATTGCCCACATTGCTTTGTTCTCTAATTCAATCAAAAAGTTACAAGCCTTCCTATATACAAGTTGGTATGAAGACATACCTATGGGACTCTTGTACGCAATGCGGTAGGCCCAAATAGAATCATCAAGCCTCCTTGACCAATCATTTTTATTAGCATTAATCTTTTTTGCTAGAATTTGCTTGATCTTTCAATTGGACACCTCAACTTGCTCACTATTCTGTGGATGATAAGGAGTATCCACATTATGGAGAACCCAATATTTTTCCAATAGCCTTTTGAACAACTTATTACAAAAGTGAGAGCCACTATCACTAATAATAGCCTTAGGTGTGCTAAATAAGGAGAAAATATTCCTTTTCAAGAACGTGGTGACACTCTTCCTTTCATTGTTAGGAAGCCTTATTGATTCCACCCATTTTGACACATAGTCAATAGCCATAAGTATATACTTCATTTCATGAGAACTCACAAATGGGCCCATAAAATCAATACCCATACATCGAATAACTCAATCACCAGAATACGATTTAATAGGAGTTCTTGAATCTTTGAAATTCCTGCATCTCGTTGGCATCAATCACATAATTTGCAAACACATGAGCATTTTGTTGAATGGTTGTCCAATAGTACCCACACTGCAAGATCTTATGCGCAGTCTGGATACCACTATGGTGCCCTCCCACCAGCGAACAGTGAAATGCCTCCAAAACTCTCAACATCTCAACCTCCGGTACACAGCAATGAAAATTCCCAATAGCACAACTCCGATATAAGTAAGACTCATCCGATAAGAACTTTTCACATCATGCATGAACCTTTTCATCTAGTAGAAAGATAAGGCCAACAGAACTACATCACTTTCTAGATAGTTTGAAAAGTCTACAAACCATGTGATCAAATCTTGAGAGGCGGCCAATATATGATCATCTGGGAATGCATCATCAATTTCAACCTTTTCTCCTAATTCATGCATAGATTCATCCTCCAATCTAGACAAGTGATCGAAAACTTGATTATCAGTCCCCTTTCTATATTTTACCTCAAAAATCAAACTCTTACAACAATAGTACCTATTAGATCAACCTTGGCTTTGCATCCTTTTTATCAAATACCTAAAAGTGAAGTGGTCCATACGCACTATGACTATTGTGCGAAGCAAATAGGAGTGAATCTTTTAAAATGCAAAGACCACTTCCAGAAGTTCTTGTTTAGTGACTGCGTAGGTTTTATGAGCTTCATCAAGTCTATACTAGCATAGCAAATGGGGTGATGTATTTTATCCCTTCTCTGTCCCAACATCATACCAAGTGCAACCCCTTATTCATCCACATCACCTCAAATGGCTCATTCCAATTCGATGAAATCATAATGGACGCGAACACCAACTTCTCCTTCAACTATCCAAATGCTTTTAGATAGGATTCATTGAAATAGAACTTGCATTCCTTCTCGAGTAGTTTGCTCAAAGGATGTGCATTTTTTAAAAAATCCTTAATGAACCTCCGGTAAAAGCCAACATGTCCACGAAAACTTAACACCTTTCGCAGATAGGAATGGAGGAAACCTCTCTATCACTTCTACTTTAGCTCGATTAATCTCTGTCCTCTTCTCCCAGATTCGATGGCCCAAAACTATACCTTCGATCACCATAAAGTGACATTTCTCCCAATTCAGCACCAAATTACAATGTTCACATTTTTTGCGCACCTCATCCAAATTACTCAAACACCGATCAAAGAAGTCACTAACATAAAAAAATTATCCATGAACACCTCAATGGTGTGCTCCACCATATCAGAGAATATCGATATCATACAACGCTAGAAGGTGACCGGTACATTATATAACCCAAACGACATCCTTTTGAAAGAAAATATCCTATATGGGCAAGTAAAAGTGGTCTTTTTTTATCCCTCAGGGGTAATTGATATTTGGTTGTAGCTAAAATAGCCGTCAAGAAAAAAATCCCACCCTTTGCATGCGAGTCTGTCTAACATCTAATTTATAAAGTGCATGGGAAAATAGTCCTTCTAAGTGAAAGCATTCAACTTCCGATAGTTCATAGAGACATTCCATTCGGTCACTGGCGGCATCGGAACAAGCTTGTTCTTATTATTAGGTACCACTATCATCCGACCCTTTTTTAGGCACACACTAAACAAGACACACCCGACTACTGTCCACAATAGTTTAAATGACTCAAATATCCAACCACTTGATTATCTTCTTTTTCACTACCTCTTACATAGGTGGATTCAACCTTTTTTTAGTGCTCAATACTTGGTTTATGATCAGACATGATTTGGATTTTATGGGAACAGATACTAGGGGAACCTCAATAATGTCAGTAATAGTCCAACCAATGGCTCGTCTTAACCTCTTTAATAATGCCACTAGTCCCTCTACTTTTTGTTCATTCAAATCTGCTACAATTATTAGCAAAGTGTCATCTCTACCTAAGAACAGATACCTCAGATGAGGTTGTAAAGCGTTAAGCTCTAATTTTTGGTCCTCCTCAATAGATGGTTTCGCGGGTGGAGAATCGCGATGCTTCCTATCTAACTCTAATTTCTTTGATTTTGACCGATATTTCTTTCGTTCAAGTGCAACTACCAACGACCCATACTCTTCAATACCATAAATTTTAAAATTCATAATCACTGCCGCTAGTGCCTCGACACCTAGTCGCTCTTCAATTTGTACCTCTGATACACTCTCAACCCTATAAGATATATCAGATACCGTTTGGAGATCACCACTCTGTTTTATGGATATACATATGTTGAAAATGTCTTCTTCATTGTTCAACCTGAACATTATCTTAACTTTTTCCATATAAACAAATACACGCCCGGATGCAAGGAATGGCCTCCCTAGAATAATGCGAACCTCAAAATCGACCTTACAGTCAATAATCACAAAGTCGGCTCGAAATATAAATGACTCCACTTTTATAAGCACATCATGGAGTACACCAATGGGCTTCTTCACCATTTGATCAAGCCATCAGTAACCGCATTGTGGTAGGTTTTGGGTCAACCAAGCTTAACTTCTTATAAATGGAAAAAGGCATGAGATTTATGCTTGCACCAAGATCACATAGTTCTTTATCAAAGTGTAGCAACCTGATTGTACATAAAATAGTGAAAGTTCCAAGATCTTCCTTCTTCTGCACAAGAGATCTTGTAGCAATATCACTACAATGTCACATTATGTCATGATACTCAAAGCTCACCGATCTGTTCTTAGTTAGTATATACTTCATAATCATAGCATAACCGGTAATTTGTTCCAAAACTTCAATCAAAGGGACATTGATGGGAATATGTTTCAACATAGTGATGAATCGCCAATATTTACCATCCTCATTCTTCTTCAGTAATCTCTCTGGGAATGGTGGTAGAGGTTAAGGAATGGGGACCACTTTCTGGGATACCTCTTCTTCTTTCACCATTTTGTCCACCAATTATCCACTAGCTTCTACTACCTCTTTGTCTTTTCTCAAATCATCTTCTACTACCGATGACATAAGTAGATCAATGGTCTGCTTTCCCCCTCGAGTTGTGAATGTCATGCACTACCCATCATTTTTAGGATTTTGGATAGTGTTTCAAGGAAGAGTTCCAAATTGGCGTGGGTTCACCGTAGTGGACAATTGAGCCATTTGTAACTCAAGATACTTAATCGTAACCGCTTGTGTGTCCACCTTCTATCTAATGTTATCTAGATCACCTCTCATATTCTTGACATTCTAATCACTAACATTAAACATCCTCATTATCTTCTGTAACGTATCCTCAACTCGCGCCATACTACCTCTATCTTCCTCGGGAGAAACTTCCCAATTTTGTTGAAGAATACAAGGCCCACTCTGATCATACATGTTACCATAGTTATTCTGGTTAAAGCTGATTTTGCGGCTGTACTTCTCATCTCGAACATATTGAAGCTCTCAGTTGTAGTTACTATAATTTTTACCTTTGTTTCCTTGACCTTGGTGCAAATTTTCCTAATTAGAGCCTTGGCATTTTGTTGGAAACCCCAGTTTTGATCATTTATTGCATAGACATCTTCTTCATAATAGTACTCATCTACCGACGGTGGTGGTTTAGTCAAGTAGTTCACCGCATTTACCTTATCTGAATCTCCACTCACATGTTACAAGACAAACCCTAACTCGGTTGTTATCTGCCAATCTCCTCATGAATCTCATTTGTCGCTGGGTTATTTGTAGCTTGTACTGCAAAGGTGTTTCTCCTAGACTCTTACTTTCTAGCTCCCAAGCGTTGTTGTTTCGAGATGTCTTCTTTAACTTCTCTGTGATCTCTGCATATTTGGACTCTTTATAGGAACTACCCACAATAGTATCATGCACTACTTTATTGTTATCATGTTGACCTCTCTAAAAGTACTCTTTCAACGAATCATCATCAATGCAGTGGTTTGTGACACCTTTCACGAACAAAATAAATCTGTTCCCAGAGCTACTCACACACTCTCCAACTATTGCCACAAAGTTTTTCACCTTATCCTTGTGGTTGAGATACTTGGAAACTAGTATTACTTTTCTAACAACACATCTCTCAACTAATCCCAAGTATAGATGGAGTTATAGGGTAGATCAGAAAACCAATCACGACATCTCCTATCCGATGACATTCATATCCAATTCTGGCCTACCCACACAATTCATACATAGACCTCAGTTTGTATGTGTGAGCATATGAGTCATGTGATTGTAGTTCTTCCAATAAAACGTTCGCGATGAGTATCTTCATCAAGCTATTCGTCACTACGAATGTGTGTCCACGGTGTAGAGGAGGTAGGACAAGAGGCACATCAGAATTAGTGATGTTCACATTGCCTTTATAAAAATCTTGAGGTCATGGATTGAACGCTGCATCCTCAAAGCATTACATAATTGACTATCATCACAATCTTGGTTGGGTGCCATAATCGGCAATGAAGGCTGACAAATTCCACCATCACCCAGATTGGTTGGTATATGTT